TTACTCTTACTGTAAGTATCACGCAGTTACCATTGCCGACACCCCGTTACTGCGCGTTACTCAGGTCGCACAATGAACCTTTTTTTATGATAGGACTCGTGCGCGCCTTGTCATGAGAGAGGGGAGGATGAGAATGGCTGTTACGGGTGTTAACGCAGAGAGAGATGGAGAATGAGGAGGACTCCAGCGATCTGCGTTTCCCCATCAGATAGTTTCACCTGCATGTCTGCACAGCGCAGGCGGCACGATTCACGCGCTAGCGACAGGAAATGCGCATGCTCGCTAAAGGCACGCAACAGCTGTGCTCGCGCCACAGGGGAACTACGGAGAGCGTGAACGATCTAATGTTGGATGGATGGACTGGGTTTATAGGCCCATCAGATAGCGTTCCCCCCTGATGTAATTTACTTTAAGTTGCAATAAATGCAAAACTCTCTGCAGGTTCTTGTCTTTGTCGTCGTCTCTATTCAGCTGGCTTTTGAAACACACGGCGAGAAGGTGGGGGCCGGGTGGTGAGAGTTACGGGGGCGAGAAACACAAAAGTAACGCAATAGTTACTTTTACTAGTAACTAGTTACTTTTATTGTGTAGTAACTCAGTTACCTTTTGGGAGAAGTAACTAGTAACTATAACTAATTACTTTTTCCAAGTAACATGCCCAACACTTTAGGGGACTAGCCAAGGACCAGCCAAGGGCCCATCAAGGAAAGTAGGGAAATTTTAAATGGCTACTACTGTATGTTGAGCTCAGGGACCAGCTAATCTGTATTTAGACTAAATAAAGATGTCAAGACAGTTAACTACTTATAAAGAACTACATGCCTATATACTTTATCATTTAAAGAAAAATACATCCCATGTAGAGCAGATCCATCAGTAAGTGTACCATGATCTAATGCCATTAAATGTTTCATGCTGGGTTTTTCGCTTTGAATCTTACCGTGCGTCTTTTCTGTACTGTAGCAGGACAGAGTGATGGTCATCACATGTGTCTGCCTCACAGCCAACCACGATCTGCAGAAAAGGGACATGTTATGACTTGGATGTTATAAAAACAGATGCAAATATGAGCAAGATCTAGCTTCCTTTACTTTGAACTGTAAAATATATCCGGGCTGCACTATAAGCTCTCGGGTAGCGAGGATGTTATGTGTCCTGTCTTGGTTTTTGTTCGGCCAGTAGAGGTGAAATGAGGGATTTCCACAGAAGCCAGCGGTGCGCACGGCGTTAGGATAGAAGCTCCAGCTTTCTTCATGAGAAACGCCCTCTAGTGAAAGCAAAACAAGTAGTTTATCAGAAGGAGGAACTTTTAAAGTGATTAAACCAGGGTCTTCATTGATTGATCGATAACTATATTATTAGATTGCAAATCACCATCATCAAAGGTGTCCAGAAGTGTGGATGGATTGATGTCGGATCCTCCAACCAAGATGTTGTCTATTGCCCACTGAGCTCTTTCTAGGCTTGGGGTAGCCAAGCCTGAAGAGATGGTGAAAGGCTGCCACCATCGCAGGCGTGTAGCGTTAGTTAGAGCCCCCTCTGGTAGAACAATATAATCTCTCCTCACTGACACATATTTGAGGTAATCCATCTCATGTAGCAGTGTCCACGACACACCTGAGTATTTAAGGAATTCAGTTAGATACAAAGAAAGAGATAAAAAAATACAACATCATGTCCATGTTCACCTAGCCTCG